TTCTTACCAAAGGAAGAAGAGAAGTTTTCTGAGGTAGCATCCTGTTGCTGCTACCCTTCCTCCTGCTCCAGGCAGTGACTGCTGACTGACAGAAGTTCAGCCTAGCCTGCTAGTGACAAACTCATAAAAGGAGCAAATGACTTGTGAATCCCACAAAGCTACAGTTACCAGAGAACGGTTTGGGTTGGAAGAGACCTTAAAGGTCATCTTGTTCCAACCCAGGGACAGGATATTAGTGCATGAGTACATCCTACAGATGTCCATATTGATATGCTTCTTAGCATGGTTTTGCCTTTATTGATCCCTCAGGCATGGTCTGGGCACAGTTCAGGAGGTGCACATGTACCACAAAGAGTTTGGATATGGCCATTCTCTTTGGGAAAGTGATGTAACCTCAGGAGGTGTTCTGTACCACTTGGCCTCAGATCCAGAGGAGTCACTTCCCTGAATTACTCAGTAATACACAGAGAGCAAAACTGACTCAGGAACAAGCAAGCTGATAACTGTGTCTGAAGGATCAGCTTAAGGAGCAGCTTGAAAAGGAGGTGATTCTTGCGTCAAGTTCAAAGATGCTGCTCATTTGCAAACATTATTTTGTTTTCTGTTTTAAATGCACTGGTGTTCTAAAGGATGTGTTTGGAAGCAAATTCCTCCAATTTTATTTGTTGTTTCTGATGGCTTGTCTCTGGTTGTGGGAACTCAGTAGCACTTGCAGGTATGCTGCAGCAGATTGCCATGCTGCCAGTAGTTTTCATGCAGCATTACTGTACCGTGGTCAGAAATGGTTGATTACGCAGGAGAAGGAAGCACAGAGCAATTGTCAAGTATTTAGGTAATGTTAGATGGAATATGAATCTGATTGCATTTGACTTAAAAGCAACCTCCTTCCCCACCTAAAAAACAAAATCCCACCCCTGAAAATATTAAAGCCGTCTCCCATGGTAATTTTTTTAGTGATTTTTATAGGCTAAATAATTCTCAGGCACAGCTAGTACTTTGTCCATTCAGAGAGAGGTGACACTTCATCTTTCACTAAGACACTTCAGGCTCATTCTCATACCAAATCCATTTTCATTCCTGCTCTATGAACCTGTAACATAGGTTATGCAATTAGGAGGAAAGTGTTTGCAGAAATGATAAGGAAAACCTGATAAATGAAATCTGCTATACACTGTCAGTCAAGCTGAAGCTATTCCAATAAACACAAACATAGTTTTTTGTTTCCAGCTTAAAGAGACAGAGTAAAATAATTTATGGCCAAAATTGTCTTTCCTTCCTCACAGCATTTATATGGATATAACAGTAGACATCACAAAATATGTTAAGGGATATATGGTAGAGTGTTAAAAAGGCAATGCTATGGTTAGCATTGTAGTTATACCATTAGAGTTAATGGACTTTTTGTTCCGTAACTGGGCCCCTCTCTGTGAATATATACCTTTTTGCTATATGTCTTTATGCAATTAGGAGCATTTTTTAGGGTGAATGTTTGGTTTTAGGAAGGGATTTTGCTTTCAAGGCAAATGCAGTCAGATTTATATCACATCTATTATTATCTAAGTGGAGTCTTGTCTTCCAGAGGAGATTTATCTTATAGAGTGCACAGATTGGGCAGCCTTCAATTTAGGAATGGATACAGAATATTTTTGCAAGTGTTGCTCTATAATTTTTTCCTTTTTATCTTTTCTGCACGCTATTCAAACTTTTCTTGGAAGACAAAATCAGTCATTTCTTTGTGGGGAAATATGATTCTGTTCTTTCTCTGTATTTTCTGAGGGCCTCAGAAATGGTAATGTATCGTTAGCAGTTCTAAGGAGGTGATGTTATATCTCCACGTTATAAATCGGGAGTGAAGGCTGGTGGTTGAAGCACAGTTCTGAGAACATTTGCTAATTTGTGGACCCCATTCAGTGACCCAGTTTCTTGGAATAATTCATTCTGTGTGATCAAGGCACCTTCCCCTCTTGTCGATTTCAGTGGCATTAGCTCTCAGGACCTCTGCAATCTGGGCCTCAGTGCTTGAAACAGAAGACCAAAGATGTAAGGAATACTTACTTGGTGACCAGCTCAAGATTTAGTGCAAAGGGATTCCCTACCAGCACATAAGAACTGTGGAGCAGAGGCTAGGAAACAGTACTTTTTTCAAGGATGATCCTCATTTCCGGTTGTCCAGAGCCTCTTTCTTCTGATTCTACTATGTGTTTGAGTATCTAACAAATGAAGCAGTGCTTCAGTGACTGATGACCTCTATAGCTGCACTTCTGATTCTCAGAACAGATACATGCTGAGAAGTTAGAAAACTGATCATTTATTTAAAAAGGGTACTCAGAGAAAGCAGTCCAAACCACTTCAGCTTTGACAGCATGTCCCAAGTTTTCCCTGTTATTGCATGAAATGGGGCAGTCTAAGTCTAACTTTAAAATGTGCCCATATTCTATCTTGCTATAGTCACCCGATCAGAGTACCTGAGTCAGTCTCTTCCTCCAGCATAATATGCTGATATGCACTCTTCTACTTGAAAACAGCTCATCTTTGCTCAAAACTGGTCTGTAGTGTCAACTGAGTGACATTCATTTACTGCGCTGGGTGGTGTTGCTGAGAAGTAAAACTATCCCATTAGCCTGTTTGCAGTATAAAATAGGCTTTTGCATTTTACAAGCTTATGCAGTGTGGTGAGATTCTGGCAAGTGTAAAGGAAAAAGGTGTTAAGGAGAGCTGGCAGCTCCTTAGAGAAAAGATATTAAGTGCAAACTTCCAATAAGGAGGAAAGTTAAGGAAGTGAAGTAGAAGACCAGTGTAGCTAAGCTGTCAGCTCTTCATAGCCCCTGAAGAGAATGTTTTTTACAGAGTGGGAAGTAGGTCAGATTTCCAAGAGCAAGGGTAAAAAAAAAAAAAGCATGTAGGGACGATAAAAGCACACATCTCGAGGCACAAAATGAGATTAAAGGATTGAAGTATCCAGGTGTGTAACAGGTGCTAAGGACTCAATTTTCTTGTACGTTAGTAATGAAACAAAGACTGAAAGAAAATGTTAGAGGGTGAAAGAGATCAACAGATGGCATTGGGGAGGCCATAGTGTCTTTGGTTTGTTTGGGTCTTTCCCAGTGAAGTGTATACTGTTGCTACTGATAACATGGGGAACCATGCTGCCACTGCTACTGTGGGCAAGTAGGCAGGGGCCTGGGTGCTAGAAGATCTCACATGTGCAAATGAATGCCTCTGTACAGCTTGATATCTACAGAAGTGTATACCTTCCAACCTCCACCCACCAATTTGAGGGTGGTTTGTCTGGAGGATACCTGAAATATTGACTGAAGATGACTTGGAAAGTGCTTGGGAACAGTCCACTGTGGAAGGCAAGCATGAGCGGGGAGGATCCCAGAGGTGACTTCTTTGCAAGTGCTGTTATGTACTTTTGTTATTGGGTTAGACGAGTGTGATAACCATTCATGCAGAAGGCACTAAGTTGTTAAGGATGAATGAAGCTATGAAAGAAAGGGCCACAACTGAAAATGATCTTAATTAGTTGGAGAAGTAATCATAAAAAGAATGGTCACAGTTCAACAGTGATATGTTCTATATATGACTCTTAGGAGTAACCAACTTTAATGATAGAGGCTGGGGAATAACTTCCATGGGAGTAATTATTCAGAAAAGAAGACTGTGACTTGCAGGGAGCCACAAGCCAATACGAGTTGACATCGTCATGCTGTGGTATGCATATTCCAGGGTGAATAGAAACAAATATAGTCTGTGGAACCCATGAAAAAAAGATTCATCTGTGCTTGGAGTTCCATGTCAAGTCACAGGGACTGTACTTTGAGAAAAATGTAAATCAACAAAATTATGCAGAGGGATGGCAGCAAAGCTGAACAACCAGTCCAGGTAATATAACTGATAAGTAAATATCGAGTAAATTGGTGTTATCTGGGGCAGATGGCAGCAATATAATTAGTAGTTATATCCTTCTGTACGTATGGGCTGCTGGAAAGAAGGAGAGAATGACCCATTTTCTGTGCCTGTGATAGCACGAAGACTAAAGACCATAAGTTCCAGCAAGAGAAATGGTGCTACTATGGAAAGAGTAGTCCAGCACTGGAAGAGTTTACCTGGGGAGGTTAATGAATTTCCATTGTTGGAGGTCTTCAAGAGCAATTGGGAAACATCCTCTGGAAATATTATATATTGTGGTAGATTCTGCTGTGGGGCTGGACAACTTCTGATGCCTCTTCCGGGAATAACTGCATTGTTTTCTGACATGCTTTCCCTTCCATCTTTTTTATCCTTTTACTTCTTGGTATTACTTTTTTCTGGATAGGATTTCTTGGGGGGCAGGGGGGTTCAATGGATTAAAATTTAGCAAATCCATAGCAGTCATCTTAGTACAGAGCTCCGTGGGGCGGTACTTTAAATTACTATGTTTGACTGACTACTGAAGTTACAAGGGTCCCAGGCCACAACTTCTTAGTGAGAATGTTCTTTATAGATGGATTAAGGCCTGGGACTTGCTTTCTAATCAGCATATTTTCTGAAGACTTTTAAAATGCATGTAACAGTTTGACATACCAGCTGTCACCAGAAATCGTGTCCCCCCACCGACACCCATGTGTGGTGCGTTGGCACTCATGTCATACAGGGAGGGAGTGTTGACAGGTCCTCTTGCTAGTCACCTTAGAAAGGGAGGAAAGAAGCCAGGGTTCAGCAAAGGAGAACTGGCAGTCACAGGAGAACACTAGGGATGGCAGAACCAGAACAGTCAAAGCAAGGAGTTACTGGACTGGCCCAGGGCTTTTACAAGCCCAAGAGGAAATGCATGCAGCAAAAGGGAAATATTCTTCAGCCTCATCCATGTTTAGTTTGGTGCTTGAGATTGATTTGAACTTTTCTTGTCATGGGACAGCAGTGCAACGCCATTCATGGCCAATCTTTCCAGCCTCCAAAGTCTTGAGTAGCACTAGTTGCATTTGTGTTAAACTGAATCATGTTTTCTTTTGACTTAGAAGCCAAATTTGATTTCCAAGCCAATGCTTGACAGCATCCTTTGTCTTCGTGATGACAGATGGAAGTATGTGCGGAGCCTCCTGACCCCGGCCTTCAGCGATACCAAACTGAAAGAGGTAAGGTGTAGACCATGCTGCTTTCATAAATTGTAAGACATAATAATTTTCTTCTGTGCAGGCATATACTTTATATGGGTCCATATTAAGGATAGGTAAAACCTGCTTATTTTGTACCAATTTATTTAGACATGAAGAGCACATGGAATGGAGTATACGTGCAGTGTGATCCATGTCACAGACTGGTGAAAATCAGAATAGATCATCTGATTTGATTCTATGTCTTTATATAAACTAGTTTTCCCATGAAAGCATGGCAAACTCAAAAAGGACCCTTATACCTTCCTCTTCCCTGCCCTGCTAGGAGTAAGCTAAAGTATGGGATAGGTTATTGCTCCTAGTTGGAGCGTAGCTTTTTGTGATCTGCAGAGTCAGCAGCTCTCACGTTAACACAGGAATTCAGGAATTGCTGTCAGTCTGTTTTCATTTCTCCATCTTCCCCCCCCCCCCCCCGCTCTTTAATCCTTTTATATAATAAAATAAGTCACTGGAACAAAATGTCATTGCCAGATAAATACTTCTGACTGAAAATAAATGTCTCTATGCTGACCAACTGCTAATTTCCTATAAATGTCTCAGCATTTACTTAGCCATGGATGGGAACCTATTCCCCAGTAACAAGTTCCTATTCCAGTGACATGATATCTCTTAATTAAATGCAGATAAATGATTGACTGGTTAAAGTCTTCTTTCAAGGGGAAAAATTAAGAAAAAAACAAAAACACAACAAAACCCCACCTATTTATATATCTTATTCTGAAAGGGAACCATGCGTCACTTCGGTGCCCAGTCCTGGGCTGTAAAATTTTCCACTGGGCAGACGCTTGTGTTGTTTTGACATGCCGCTGTCGAAATCCACAGTAACATCTAAATGTGTCTGGCTCTCCCAGCTCTATAGACAGCGGTCGCTTAGCAACACCGGCTGTCACCTCCTTATTATGGTAAATTCTAATTGGGCACCAGCCTGGTAGAGATGCTGATTAATCACAACTGACAATGCCATTGGTTATGTGCCCCGATATTTGCTCTGTCCCTGGCTCCATCATGAAATTTTAGCGAGGCAAGGATGTTTAAATATTCAAGCAATTAGTTCCTTGTGTGTGGTGGGGAGAGGAGAGTTTTTTCCTAGAGGAAGTTAATCTGCCCTACTGCAGGTCATCGGCTCTTTGCAGGTGGACTAAGAAAAGATAAAGCGGCGCTCCCCTCAGTTTGCAGAGAGCAGCCTCTGCCAGCACCAGCCAGGCAACTTGACTGAAGAGAGCACCGAGGCTCTCAGCACCATGTTTTGGGGGTGGGAATGCACTGGTCTGCAGGGTTTGACCAATTAAACCTGGGTGGGAGAAGAAGTCACGGTGCTCACTTTACGCTGCTTGGTGGTGGAGCTGCACACAGGAGTAGTGGTAGGAGGTAAAATGGAAGGCTGGGTAGTGTCCAGTAGCTGTCCCATATGCAAAAATTTAGATCTTTGTTTTTAGCCTGATACTCAGCTTTCCCTGTTCTGCCTCTTCCAAACTCTGTGGAAGGGGTGTGATTGTGCCAGGGTGACCTGGACATGGTCACTTTCTTCTCCCAGCCTACAGGAAGTTGGAAAATGAGTGGGGAATCTCTCTCTGAAAGGCCTAACTTTGTTCTTCTGATCGGTGTCTTCACCAGAAGACTGTCCACCCCTACAGAGAGGGACACTTACAAAAAGCCCACGTGAGCTTAGGAACCTCTTTTTAATGGGTGCACTCCCCAGACTTGCATTTCATTTTCTACCCAAATACATCAGCAGTCCTGGGATTTGAACTTAATGTAACTTAAGTCCTTCTTATGTGCTTCTCTTGCTGTTGCTTAATTTAGAAGCCATACCAACACTTCTCAAAGGAAATCAATGTTCATTAATTATGATCTCACTTTTAACTCTCCCCTATTTAGTACTCTCTCGGAGCCTCTACAGCAGCATATACTATGTTCTAGTATTGGCAGTACTAGAGAGTATTCTGAATTATGTAGAAGACATCCTGTTTATAATAAACTCTTCCTCTCTGCCTCAGAGGAATTACAAATAAGCTAGTTTTGGTATGAATCATTTCATAATGACCTGGGTATGTTGTTTTATGTATATTTATAAATACTGCTAAATACATTCCTCCTTTCTTTCCCAAGACATTGATTTTTTTGCTATGAAGATCGGAGCTCTGATGAAACCTCCCACCAAAGTCTTCCTCTTTGTTCAGTCTGGATGTCTGCCTTCCCTATGCAAACTCCTCAGTGATGCTGGAAAGACTGCAGACCTCCCAGATGGCTTCAGAGAGTGGTTTCCCTTGGCATTGCAGTCCTTATTGTCGCTCCAGACATAGACTTTTCTGCCTGGATGCTCTGAGAAAACTGGGAGCTATTACCCTGTGACAGAGCAATAAATGTTAACAACTCCTTGTGTTCCCCATATTAGTCACTTCAGATAAAAGATGCACAGAGGGAGTGTAGGTTCCTGATATCTCCATTTCAGGAACGCAATCTACTAGTTGGCCGAAGGACAGCTTCAGCATCAGCAAGAAGAAGCCAGTCATCCACACTTTGGCCTGGCTGCTATAATACAAAACCCAAGACAGACCTAATGTATGTTGTTAAGGTTTGACCTGCAGTACCCTGTAGCCTCATCTAGCTGCCGTGGCTGGGGAGAGGTGTACTTTGCCCTTGCTGCTCTATGGAAGTGGTGTAGTGTCACTGAGAAGTTCACTAAGCTTGAGGAATTTCCTCTTAGTTTGACAAAAATCTCCAACAGCCAGCCACCAAATGAGGAAAAGTTGATCCCAGAAATTTTGAAGTTTGCAAACTTATGAGTAGATAACTGAAACTGGAGGTTATAGAGCTGTTGGGTAGCCAGTGTAGTGATTGCTGTGTGTATGCAGAGAGTTGCTTTCCTAATGTTTTTCAGGATTTTCTGGCGTCTTCAGTTCTCTTTGTCTCTTCAGTTTCTCTTTAAAAGCTGCGTACTGTTTCACTGTTACTTTTATAGATTTCTGTACATTGTGTGTTCTCCCTTTTTAATTTCCTTTTTCTAATGAGTGTGTAAAGATTAGTAAAGCAGTCCAGTCCAACTGAAGGAAGGTTTGGCTTCAGGTAACATTAAAATCAAATGTTATAGTGGTTAGCAGAGTGTAAATCATTAGACTTCTAAGCTTGATCCTGCAGTAAGATTTGGTAGCATCCCATGTGAGATGCCATTGGAGTTGGTAGCAAATCTGATTATAAGCTCTTTTCTGTAAGACCCTTGAGTGGACCTCATAAAGCCATTGCTATGTGGGCTCTAAAAATGAGTAGTGGGAGATCGGAGGCAGGAGATCCAAGAAGTTTCACTTCCAGCTCTGCCATTGACTGCCCATACATGATCTGGCAGAAACTATTTAAAATCTCTGTAAATGAAACAATTTTCATCTGTTAAATGGGAATAATATCAACTACTGAAAATTGATCTAAGATGTAATTCATAAGAAATTGGTGAAGTAAAATACCTGGAGGACCTTAAGTAAAAGTTGTACCTCCTGATGTTCCTGTCATGCTCTCCTCAGCTATTATGTATTGCAACGAGTTTATGTGTTAGAGATCTTGCTGTACCAAACTTGATTCCCTATTCAGTATTTCTTATATTTTTTCCTCTTCTTTTTGCTGTGGTGCCTGTGATGATCCTGCAGTTCTGGATCCTTTGTCAGACTTGATAAATAGCTTTGCTCTCTTTTACAGCCAACACCAGCAGAAAACCTATTGATTTTCATTTATTCTGATGGTGCTGCAGTAGTCTTGTCATCTCCTATCAGTATGCTTGGAGACCTCTCCTCCATTAACCAACCATTAAAACAAAACAGAACACAAAAATTAAAGAAGAGAGCGCACCATAATGTGGCATTGTTCTAAATAACCTGTGGAGTTTATGTGAGGCATTTTCTTTCAAACAAGGAGAAACAAAGCAGAACTTGTGATAACATGGCAGAACAGTGTGGGAGAATCCTCCAGTGTCACTCTCAGGCATGCAGATCTTCCAGGTCCCACTAGGACATAAAATCTGACAGTCCAATCATTGAGGATTCCTTGATTTGCTCTTACTATGCTTGTGCACACTGGTCAGAGGCATTTTGGAAGAGTCTCTGGAAATTGCTATTGTTACTTAGCAAAGCAAGTGTGCTCAGCTGAGGCAAAGCAAAACAATAACGTAAAAGCTGATACATGAAGTGTGCATGTCCTTGAGCCACAAGTCTGTGTGACTGAGTTGCTCGTTTTGGTAAGTTGTGCCCATGAATAGCAGGACCCCACTGTGAGGTGATGGAAACAAATTGTTTCACAAACATCATCCTGGCAGTCTGCTCTTTTCCTGGTTTTGGTCAGGGACTTGAAGCAATTCTTGTGTTAGGGATGCATCGTTGTTTTTTTTTTTATTCCTTCATATTTCATCCTATCTGTGGGATAAGAGACCCAACACAACTTTTGTGTACTGCACATGAAGAGTAAAATCTCCGGTGTGTCTGTCTACAGATAATACAACCTAGACTTCTGCTGCCTAGTTTGGGTGCTAATAATAAAGGGAATAACAACAGCGAATACTGAGGACCACATCTAACTAGAGGAACGTGACTCTGATGCCTTTGAACAGTGCAAACATCCCCATGCCCTGTGCTTATGCAGAATCGGAAACTAATTGTTGTTATGTGCCAAATAGCATATTGGCAGGATTTATACAGCAAAGCCCCTGGCATCATGAAAACCCTAACCCCAAATGCTCTTCTTTGGCAGAAAGAAAGAAATTTGGACTCTGGGCTACTCTTGCTATTAGATAACTGGCAGATCAAATATTTACAGGGACCATATTGTTTAAATTTTTCTTCATCCTGTTACTCTCAGCCAATCTGAGCACAGAGCAGCTGGGGTTTGTTTACCCACCACAAACTGAATTTCAGGCAGGTTATGCAGCTTTTATGTTCTGACTGGCAAATAAGAATACATAGGAAGTTAGTGATACCCAAGGCAGTGCAGATCAGCATGCCTGTGTCTGTGCCGGTTTTCAAAGTTTGGTATAGTTCATCACCCCTAACACTACTTCATATTTCTTGACAATTGAACAAAGAGTTTAAAGTGTTAAGGGACTTGAGAATGTTTCAGTGGTCTTTGTAGTTAGCAGTCTTGGACTAATTTATGTCCCTCAGGGGAATAAAAACCCAAACCCAAATCCTGGATTCCTGAGTGGATATCCCCTGTAGCATTCACATGCAAATAATTGTCTCATTGATATGACTGTGTCCTATCATGCTAACAATAAATCAAATCCATGTGCCCCCTTACCCATTTTCCTGGTTAGATTTACTAATTAAAATATCTTATTACTAGAAATGTGTTGCAACAGTATTTGAAAGACTGGTGGAATGTGTAAAGTGCAGAGGTGCTGTGAGATGCCCTGGCCAGGCATATGTGCCCCTGCCATCTTTGCCAGCTGTTGGAAAGCAATAGCAACCAGCTGGGTGGTAGCAGGTCTGGTGATGTTATGAAGAATAAAAAAGAAAATAAGGCAGTAAAAGGAAAATCTGAAATGATCGCCATCTGTTTAGGAAGCATCATACCTGTTAAAATATGGATTTTCATTTTGTTCTCCTTGACTGGTTCAGTTCATTGGAGGGGCTGGACCCAGAGATTATAAAACATTTCACCTTGCCTCAATCTGTTGAACAGAAATGTGTTAATTTTGTTGAACAATTTGAGGAGAAGCTCACTGCAGGGGATCTTCTTTAGCAAGCCAAATGGGGAAGAAAACTGCCACTTAATGCGGTGTGCACCTCCTAAATGCATAATAGCTACTTTTACTGAATATTAATCTACTTTCAGAATTGTCTTGTGAGACAAAGCCCAAATCAATCCGGCTTTGAACTGATATAGCAACAACCTGCTCCATCCCATGTAGGGATGGGACATTGAGAGCAGCTAGACACATTCTTGACTCAGACTTCTGCCTTCGGAAAACATGCTAGATGCTCCCGCATCGGCCTTTTGACTGCGTATAGTCTTGTCCATGTGTTAGGATGGCTGTGTGCCTGTGCACAAAGTGTTATGCCAGTTTCACAGAGGTACAAGTGCCAAGCAAAATGGACTTGGCTGGGCAGGCTGCATAGCTCTGAGAGTGTACTGAGAGGCTGCAGTAAGTCTTTTTTGGTAACAAGAATGTCAGAGGAGTAGCACAAGTATGTTCTCATGTTTGTTGACACCCATATGCTGAAGGAGGTTGTTCAGGAAAGAAAGGTAGGTTTCTGTGCCTGCGTCTGCTGGTGCTAGTCATTGCGGTTGAGTAGTAATAAATTGTAGGCAGTAAGGATCTCTTGGCAGTGTGGAGAAAGAACCATAGCAGATGACACTGTCAGGGTCAGGGCTGGATTGCTGTTACACCCTCCCTCTGCCCCTTAGTAGGTGTATTCAAGGCAAGTGCCTGATGCTTTCAGATATAAAAAGTTCAAGAAAAAGAGAGAGACAGACCTTAATGACGTCTTGATAGTCATGACAGCCTACGCCATGGTTTCCATGAAGCACTAAAGAGGAGAATGCTGCCCTGTTAGCTACACCCGAGCTGTGGTTAAGTGTAACTGACCATCATGTGTCAGTGGCTGGAAAGAACCATTAGCTGAATAAATGAATGTTAATGTCCGTTTAATGTCATCACAACTCCAGAAAACCCTTTCCTCAGATAGCAAAATAGCAGTTTGCCCTCAGCAACTTGTAGTGGTATACATGGTGTTTTTCTAATGTATAGTTCAATTTTTCAAAGGGGGGGGGGGGACACAGGGGATGGGGATGGGGGGCATGGGACAGGAGGAAGAAAATGCTAGGCCTCTGATGCTAATATCTTTACAGGACTTTGGGACTATGGAAAATGTTATTCCTTCTGTCCTGGAGCATATCTGACCTAAATGTAATATACTGTAAATATGGATTGTGATAAATCATCAGGTGGCAAAGGAAATGATTAAAAAGAGAGGGGAGAGAGGGGTATGATTCTGCTTGATAGCTCTTTATGTTTATAGCCAGAGGTGGGCAAGAACCAAAGGCCAGGTAAGTGATAGGGCTTCTCCGGCTTAAGCCCAGAGCTGGAGAAGGGCATCCCTGTAATGTGTAGGTTTATTTTTAGCAGTCAGTCCCAAAGCTTCATCTTACCTGTGCAAAAGTGTCTAAGCAGACCTGTAGAGGATCCATCCTCTGTATCCTGAGACCTGAGGTCTCCATCCCATCTACTCAATAAAACTAATTTAGAATAATTGATTTATTTTTTTTTTACCATTTAAATGTTTTTCACAATCAAATGTGTTCCTTTCTAGATGACACCACTAATAAACCAGGCCTGTGACGTCCTGCTGTGTAACTTGAAAGCCTATGCAGATTCTGGCAAAGCTTTTGATATCCAGAGGTATGCTCAACATGCCAGAAATTAGTAGCAGATTTAAAAAAAATTAAAAAAAGGGGGGGGGAGTCAATAGTTGCAGTTATTCTAAATATGCGCTTTACAGTACAAAAGATGTGTGTCTGTCCCCCCCCCCCCGCTTTCCTAGCTTTTATGAGTGGAGATCATAGTTTTAATAGGGGATGTGCCTGATAGATGCCTTGTCTTCCTGGGGGCAGCCATTGCATACTTGAAAAGTAATTTTGGAAAAGCATCTAATGTATTTCTAGCTGTTGTTTAATGAAGTTTGAACAGCTGGAAGCAGAAAGGAAAGCTGCATCAGTCTCTGTCCAGCCTGCTTTCTACAGTCTGCCAATAATGTACAAATATAGGAATTGATCTAGTATCAAATGCCTCCAGTCCATCACCCTCTTGCTTTTTTTTTATGTGAGGGGTTTTGGGCACTTAATCATTCTTACCACATTCTTCCTGACCTCCTCTAATGGCACTCTAGCCTTTTGTGAACAACGGGATCCGTACTCCAGATGAGAATGCACCATTGATTTATGAAATGGCACTTTAATATTTTCCATACTGTGCTTTTTCCCATTTGTTATGCATTTAATATCCTACTATCTTTTTTTGTTACTCTTTCATCAGAGGTCTTCACTGAACCGTTCACAACACTGTCTAGTTCCTTCTCTGAGAAGATGCATTTCTTCTTGGACCCTGTATGGTATATGAGTAGTTCAGGATGTGTTCTTTCTAACAGGTGCTATTTTACATATGCTTCATTTGCTGGTTTTGGTCAGCGCCCTTTAAAGTTCTTTCTGATTTCTGTCAAACTGGAACAGTACAAATTATTTTTTTACCTAAAGAAATGCATATTTAGCCACAGTTCACCCAATTCTTTTCAAGTACCTGTGTACGTATGTACACAAGTGTATGTATCAAAGAGGTCTCTTTATTAAACATCTGTAGAGATCCTATGAAACCGTGAGACATTCACTTAGCCTGGTGCTCTGATGAAAACTGACCTTTTGAGTCTTTCCAGGCTTGTCCCTTTTTTCCATTTGTCTTTTGTCTTTGCCTGGTCTTTCAGCTATTGGTCCATGATAGGGTTTCACCTCTCAAGAGGCACTTTGGAAAAGACCTTTTGAAAGTATAAATGAATGATGTTGACCATCTCAGAATATGATCTTCCAATTGTTTTATCATACTATCAACAGGTTTGACATATATAAATGTGATTCTCATTGTAATGCAGTTTCCCAGAATTGCCTGGGGAACCATTTTTTGTAGGTAAATACCCTATCTGAAACCCTCGGTCAACTTTTACATTAGCTGTCTTTAGACAGCTAACAATTTTGTGTTTCACAAAATTTAGGTTTTAAGCTTTTTCAGTACCAGATAATTTGACATTAGCCTTTTGTATGGGAACACAGGAGAACTGTTATTGAAGACCACAGATCAGAAGAATTAAATTTCAAGGATATTTTACGTTTCTGGTCCATTTATCTCAAAACTAAATGTAGCTGATAACGTCCAGTAGAAATAAAGATGGTGAGACAACTGGATAGATGGTCAGATATCCAGGGAGAGATTCAGTAAGTTCTGAAGTTCCTAGATAATGGTCCACAGATAATTTGTACTTCTCAAAGCATTTGCTGCTCCTCTGTAGAGACACAGATTTCGCATGGTATCAGTTCCTCTTGTTTTTCACCATGATTTTACATTACAAACAAGCTAGCAAGAAGATGAAGGAAATTCTTAGTAGGAAATTTTACTTAAAGCACCTCTTGTCACTGAGAGTTTAGACTTGGACTGGTCACAGGTGTAGTTGCTGCCATTTAAAATGAGAAAGAAATTATCTCTTGTGAGGATGCATACTAGGAAAATGCTTATTAATTTCTGATAATGACTGTTGCTTTGATTTTGAGGTAATAACAAATGAAACCATTTATTTTTAATAATTTTAGCGGAATTATTTTGCTATATGAAGGTATGTGCACTTTGTAGAAAGAGAGAAGGTGATCATTATTAAGCACCAGAATTTGTAAGAATGATGGAAACATGTCTTGTTGGCAAAGCTCAAATCTAAATGCAAAAAGAAAAATCAGAAGCAAAAATTAATGTTATGTGATGTTTGTAAAAGCAAGATATTAATGGATATGTAATTTGTAGCTAACGACTTACCATTCTTCAACTCCATGCAGGTGTTACAACTGCTTTACCTTGGATGTTGTTGGTAGCGTAGCTTTTGGTACTGAGGTGGATTCTCAGAAGAATCCTGATGACCCCTTTGTTAAGAATTGCAGAACATTCTTTGAAACGTCTTTGTTTAAGCCTCTCCTTATTCTAACCCGTGAGTATAGTCTACCTTTGTCTGCTTCTTTAGGGTAATTTTCTAAAAGTCATTCTAAAACTGCAACACATGCTGGAACAGGAGCAGGAAGATATATAGCAGACTTTATTTCAAAGGTGTTCAGAATGCAACCTACAGGCCAAGTATACCGTCGAGATTTCCACCATATGGTCTATTACTCTTTTCGCCATTAATGCAACTTTCTTCAGAAACTGAGAGTCTGGGAAGACAATGCTTCCAGTTGATATGAATGGAAGATTTCTGGGACCTGTAGTTTCTACAGCATCTCTTTTAATACACTTCTGCATTAAAAGAGAGTAACTGCCCTTTGGAGCGTTGGAGTAAAGTTTTTGTGCTCCCAGTTCATTTCGTAGAGATTGAAATCCCACCCATAAAAAACAGTGGGCTAATAATCCAACTAAAGAAAAGAGATGAAGGAACATAAGCAGATAGTGTAAGTCCTCCAAATTCTCATATAAATAGCAGCAGCAGCCTGGTTGATGGCTATAAAGGATAAAGATGATAAGTGCCAGCACAAGCTGTCATTAAGAGAATGTATTTATTTTCAGGTGAATAGGTAAGGGAATGCAAGAATTAGGGTATAAAGCCATTTAGTTCTAGGGCATGAAAACTCAGGCTTCATGGTGATGGTGGCCTTGTTAATGCAAGGGCAGTAAGAATCATAGCTGAGAAAGTTGCAACATAATCAAGGTTGTTGAGGTTTTACCATCTTGCTATCTAGACCTGCACACAGTAGTGTCAGGTGGCACAGTGGCAAAGTTTCCTGTGCCCATCTGATCCTGCTGGCATTACAGATTGCACCTGTACTAGCAGTACATGAACTGTTTCCTTCTGGAGTTGTGTATCCAAAATGTCCTGGGGTTAATGTTTAACCTGATTGAAAAGTGTACTTTATAACTGATTTCTGAAGGGACAAAAATATACCTCTGTGTGTCTAAGATCGTGCCCTTTATTAAAGCAAGTTTCTCTGGGATTGGATTCCTTGGCTGATCTCTTTCTACTCGTACATTCTGCTGGCAGCACAGGGGTTTTCTGGTTTTGTTAGTCTTAACCTATTCATAAGTTAACAATGAGTTTACTAAGATGCAAGGCTTCACTCGGGTTTCTAGCTCCTGACTATAAAGGCCATGGACTGGAAACCATTCTTGTGATAACATCCTGCTTCCAGAGTCTTTGGTCTGTTTAGAGAAGCAAAATAAAATGGTAAACCAATATCCTAATATTGGTGAACTGTAAATGAGAATGACCACTACACTATTTCATGGATCAGTGCCATAAGCTGATAGGCTAGTTCAAGATCCTTCACCTTTTTTATGTAGTTGTTTGAGTAGCAGGGAAAATATTTTTCCCCTTTGTTGTGGTGGCTCAGTGGCATCAAGAAGCTGAACTGAAATTCTGAAGCATTGTGGAAGCAAGCTTGGAAGGCATCTGTCTGGCAGGTAGTTCTGGCCAACATGGAATTTCTAAAAGGAAATCCTTTACCAGCCTAGGGGGGCAGAAAAAAAGAGAAAGAAGGAGAGGGCCAGAGAGGAAAAAAACTGGTTTCACAAAAGTAACACATCCCACTTGAAGAATTTTATAATGTTAATGAAAGGAGGGGGGTATTATATGCCTTTACAGTGTGATTCATTGTTTTGTTCTTTAAAATCTCTTACAGTTTCTTTCCCATTTATAATGATCCCATTGCTCCGGATTTTGCCAAACAGGAAACAAAAGGAACTGAATGGATTTTTTATTCAAACCATAAAAAATGCAATTGTCTTCAGAAACCAGCAAGATGCAGCTGAGGTAAGGCTATTTCTGTGATAAATATGGGGATAAGCAAATGTATTGAGGAAGAACTGGGAGCAGCATAAGCCTCCATTGAAAAAGTAGACTCTGACTGTTTGAACATTCAAAGCAGTTTAGTGAAAATTTTATTCGTTTATTCATTTTAGTGAAAATTTCATTCATTTATTCATTTTTAGCTTTGTGTACCATCAACCAGGCTTGGTGTTGATGCAGAGTTGTTAACTCATTGCAAGAAAGACTGCTTCTCTTAGTATTGTTTGGGTTGACTTTTCAACCCAGTTTCTAGACCCAGAAGGGAGGATTTATCCTGTAGAATTTTTTCTCATCCTGAAGTCAGGTGTTTTGTCTCAGGTTTTGTCTTCCTTAAGGACCAGAGAAAAGGGAGCCCCCACTGAGCTTATCAACCCAGTCATTACCTAGGAGCTGAGGCAGGTTTCATATTGTCCTGTGACAGTTCCTTCTGCTTTTGAAACTGGAAAGAACCTGAAGGTATGATTAGGAGCAGACATTTGATATTGAGATGGCTAAAGAGAAAGGTAGTAAATTTTAGCTAACGTGTGCAAACTAATGGGTGTTCATTATTAGCAAATCATTTGTTATCCATGTATTTCTCTTTTGTCTGGATGTAAGTACTTCCATTTTGTTAGTCTTTGCTTTAGTTACTGTTTTGTGAAGTACCTGAAGGCATATGCGTTATTATGAAAGTCTTTTTTTGATACACGAAGCATTTGGAGCACGGGCATGCGCTTCAGTTCTGTGATACAAAAGTTCATCAGGTCTGCTTGTCCTTTTAGACCATTTTTTAACTGCAGACTGCATATTTTATCCCTAAAAATAAGTTAACCACTTAATTATGGATGTGTAGTGAGAAACAAAGAATATCGATGAGAATTCCATTTTAAAGGTAACTAAGACAAGCTTTGCATATCAATTGACATGAAACATGCCACAACATACACATTAAGAAGCTGTTAATATTGAAAAATGAGATGTTTTTTACCACTTTGAGGTGAAAAGCAATTCTGATAGCACAAGAGCACAGGTGAGAACAAATCCTCCCAACTTTTTCTCACAGCTTAACCTCACAGCTCTCACCTTTCAGGAAAAAAATGTATTTTAATTTACCCTGTATTACATCCAGGACATATCTAAAAATCAAATTCATTTTCAAAGATTTTGCTGCTCTTTTCTTTGACTTTTTCTGCAGTGAAGTCTCACTTCTTTATTTGTTGCACTTTATTACCACATGCTTCTTATCTTTCTTCCAGCCCACCTTTATGGGTCTTTGCCCAATCAGCCTTTAGGTCTTTGTCTCCATCCTTCTTTAGATCCAAAAGATTGTAAGCATCACTGACCAGCCACAAACGATTCATGATTCATAAACATGGTTCCTCGCCCAGGCTGAGTGGTGGTTGAATATTTTCTAACACGGGTGGTGTAGCTAAACTACTTGTAGACACGTCATTTCTAGTGCACAGATCCAGTGTGAACTTACAATGACATACTGGTGTGGCTCTATATATGAAGAGTTTTGAATCAAAGATTCATGCCAAAGGGTTTCCATGAAAAGTCTATTCTGTGTATCAGTTATAAAAGGATAAAAGGAATAATGGAACAATCTAGTGTGGATTTAAAGTAGTTAATATATTAACTACTATTAATGAAATATAATATATGCAATTTCTGTGGCAATAGCCCTGCGGCTAATTTAGCATGAGCTAAATCCTTGACTATACTATAGGTGGTCATTCCTTCAAGCTGCAGACTGAGTTGAAGGGCAGCAGGTGGGTATGGGTAGGAGAAAACACAAAGAAAAGCATGATTGTAGTATAGGAGGCAGCATTCTCTGCATATGCAGCCTGCTTGCAGGTTTCAGTGGTTGACGGCACAGAGGTGTAAGGTTATATTGGAAGGGAAGTAGGGAGGTGCTGTAAGAGATAACACATGGCCGTAGCTACCCACTATCGGGGCAATGTGGAGGAAAGTACAAGGTCCATGTTTGCTTAACAGGGGGTGCTCAAGTCCATGACTGGCTGTGGTCCTGCTTGCTCCTGGACTTCTGTCCAGTTTGCAAAATTGGCATACGGGAGCTATTTCAAGCATTGGGAGTTAGACACTTAGGACCAGATTTCTGAGAGAGCATTATGTCCGCTTTGCAGTTCAGGATCATTAACATGGCTTTCAAAATCAACTGGAAAGTTTGGAACTTCCTTTTCTCCCCCCCTTTTCATTGCCTGTCATGTACCATGCGCTTAGAATTTTGACTATTTGAGATTGGTTGGTGGCACACAAGTTGTGTTACAAGTATAGGCAACTTAATAATTTGCCAGGAACATAAAAATGGTGTGTGAAACAGATCAAAATGCAGCTGTGTCCAATTTAATGCAGAAATGTAATTTGTAGAGATTAGGTGTCCCAGATAGCCTCGCATTTATGGGCTGTGTCCTAGGTCTCAAATGATGAAATGTACTCACTGAAGTCAGTCAGAGTTTTGGCATGGAATTTTAATGAGGCCAAGATATAACTGGTAGCTACTGATCGTTTGTGCTAGTAACTGGAGCTATGAGTAATGTCTTTTGGTCTCCCTGTGCTGCATTAGGCCAGTGGGTACTCATGAGTTTGCCACATTCCTAGATGTTACATTGTGTGCATTGCTTACTCCTCATTGATTTTATCACCATTAAAAATGCTTTTGGGGAGAAAAAAAAAAAAAAAGCGCCTTTGGAGCAAGCTGTAGAACAATGGAAAGCTCCAGGAAAAGTGAATTAGCTGAAGCTTGTCTTCCTCTCATCTGCAGCTAACATGAACAAAGAATAAAGAAAGGCCAAAAAACAATGTGACAAGCAAAGTCAGCCTGTTATCATCCCTGTTCTATCAGTAAGTGAAACAATGCTTCTGAATGCCTGAAGATAATCCCATGGGCAGATAGTAATTTTACAGCCAGGTTTAGATCTAATAATATGCTTGCAGCTTGTATGAGAGCTGTGGTGTCACTTTCTCTTATCCCATCGGTTAGTGCTGCAGATGTCATTTTAATTATATACTATCTTTCTGTGGTCAGTCAAATAATTTCAGTCCTGGTTATTCCACTCATTTGGCTTATGTACAAAAACATTTAGTGGTTGTACTTTAGAAATTTTAATATATTATATTTATTCATGGATTCCAATTATTGTAAAATGCTTTTCCTACTGTTTACAAAAGAGCAAATTCACCCTCCTCAGAAGAAGCAGCACAAATTTAATGCATCACTTAACACCTACTTTGAAGACTCCAGCAGGATTTCAGCGTTCAAATACCTTATCCTGATTATCTGCCCAGGTTTAAATTTTTCCCTGAGGCAAAATGTTTCCAGAAACAGGGCAGATAGACTGTTTGTTTACTTCAATAAATGATAGTTTGATAGATTTTCATTTAATAATCTGATATGCAAATCATTATGCATGTAAGAGTTGTTTTTCTGTCATGTTATAGCTCAGTTCTTAACCTACCAGTCTATTTTAAATGATGGTATCTAGATGAAGAGTCATTCTTGGTGTTCAAAATTGAGACTCCTTTCTAAAACTGTGGGTTGAAAGCCCCCTCAGCAGATGAAAAGCCAGAATTTAATTTGTAATACATAGTAATAACAACAGTTGGAATATAGCAATTTAAGGACAGTGCAAAACATTATTTTTGGAAAATTACAATAGGTGGAAAAACCTAGTTTTCAAAATATGCAACCTTTAACAAGGAGGATTTGAGATTTCATAGAAGCTAAACCACATTCTTTTGGCATTCCCTGACTTTTCCAGCCATTCTGTCTGGTGTGTATGCATAATTCAAGGTCACTAGTCCATGCCAGGCAAGTAATGATCTGATGTTTCTGATGATGATCAGCTGTTTCTTGGCAGTCTCAAGCCCGTTTAAAATGAGAGGGTGACAAATCACAGAGAAGTATCACCAGAACTTTATTCATTGGCATCTCAGTTGGCAGTTTAGTTAACCTGCGGGGAGACCTACAGACTACCTGAATGCTTTTGGTTTACTTGTGGAGCAGACAGAAAGAACAACTGGAGTAGAGTGTGAAGGCTGTGCTGCTGTGAACCATGCTCCCTGTGAGCTACATGGTGTAAAGCCACAAAGAAACTGTGTAGTGATGTCAGTCCTGGTGATGAACTGGCCTCCTGTGAATTGGTATGTCCCTGTGATGCCCTGAACTCTACTGCAGTAGATCTAGATCAAAAGAGGTTTTCCTCTGGTCAGCAATTGCTAGTGAAGAATTGCAACCCCCTCCAGTTTTCCCCACTTCCCATCCTTGCTCCTGGCCATTTTTTTCCACAGTCCTAGGAAGGGCAGTCTGCTCTACTGTCCCCAGGCTGCTCATACCCCTGGGCAGGCACAAGTGATTCCTGGTGAGCGGAGATCCTTTGGTTTTTCAGCATCAGCCATCAGAGACTAAAAAAGGTCAGGAAACTGAATTTTGAGGAAGTCCGAAACTAAGGTGTTTAAATGCTTGCAAAGGCAAGAGAGCTGCCCTTTCGCTACGGGCTACCAGTAGAAATGTGCTATGAGAAGGTGGTATCTTTTAATATCTTTCTGGGAAATGGTGGCCTGGTTGCAACTTTAATCTCTTGAACACCGATTTCCAGGGAAAAATGTGTAGTGAGCTCCCCTAAATGCTTTACCTAAGGGGAAGAGGGACATATGTATGTGTACCTGCATTCTAGAGGATAACGGACAATCTGAAAACCTAATTACTGTGGCACTCTGTTCTTTTCTCTTCCTTCCCCAGCAGTTCCCTAGAGTTTTGCCTTTTTATGAACTAATGAACTATTTTATTCAAGAGCTGCTTGAAATGAGTTGAGCAGAGGTAATCCTTCTGAAAAAGTCTGATTTTCTCCTTGTCAAGGGAAAACTGTACAATTACTAAGAAAACTTAGTTAAAAATTTGCTAAATACTATGTACATTCCAGGACCTGTGTGTGTGTTTGAACTGTGGAAATGCAGTACAGATG